AGAGGTTTCGAAACCAAGGTGAAGATCGTGAGTTGTGGTTCTTAAACCCATTTTTTGGAAGTGAAAACACATTTTAGTTGGCATATCCACTTGGCGAGATTTTATTGGCTCATTTAACACCACCCGGATCTGTTTTAGTTTGGAACTTACTTAGGCCGTTGGATTAGATCTAAGGCTGAGGTTTAATGTATATATTTCTCCTAAGGCTACTGTACCGTTACTTGGTTCATATCTCTGATTCTTTCATACGGTCTTCAATCTCTGTTTTCTCTGTGAGGTGATTCTGAGGATTTTTTCAAGGGTTTCCATTCGAATCTTGAGTTGTATTAATATGCTAGTTTTATATTTTTGAATCACGATTGAGCCTTGGTTATTGAGTGTATTTATTGATTGTGTACAGTGTTTTAGGTTACATCAAATGTAACCGGTAAATCTGCACTTGTTGTTAGGCTATGGAGTTTCTGATTTTGCATAGTTTAGGCAGTATTGGGAGATCCGATTGTGGATTGATGACCGTTTATGGTGTCATGTTCTTAGTCTTGGTTGTGTACTGATTATTCCACTCTCAAGGTTCTTGCATAGTGACAACCTTGGTTTACCTGTTAGCCCTCCAGATTAGGCTTTGCTGAATTGGGTGAACAATCTGTTGTTATTTTCTTTTACTGCAGTGTGTATTCTGAGGTGTTATTTTCTTGTCTGTGCGATATTTGGGTGAAATAAACCCAACATATCCAATATATTAAAGTATCAAACCTTTATTAGTATCATTAATTCTCCTTGTATAAATATATACACGTACACCTTGTATATGTCAACTAGACTTATACTTGACACCTGTGATGCTGAATAAAATTGCTCATAAATTTTATAGAGAACATAATAAATGTATTCTTTGGAGCAGTACATTGTAAGTATAGTAGGGGCATTTTATTTATTTATAGCCTTATAGGTATAGAATGTTGTATGATTCTCTACTAAAGGTTTTAGATGCCCTCTCTCTTCACTATTTGAAAGTCTCTGTCCAAATTGAGCTCGAGTAATACTACATGTACATAACCATTCACATAATGGTTCACATAATTACATGTGGCATGTGATCCAACCTTTAATTCAAATTTTACACTTACACATCAACAAGTGGATGATTGCAACGTCAGTATTATGTGAATCATTATGTAAATGGTTATGTACACCTAGCATTATTCATTAAGCTCTGTACCTGTACAGACGCATCCTTCTGTCATTCTATCTGTACAAGTAGAATATTTCGTCCAAATTAGCTTCGATATCTGCTATTTAAAGATTGCGCGAGACTGTCTAAATTAGTTTCGACACCTCCTAAAAGATAGTGGGAGACGAGCAGAAGATTTTTCCCAAATCCAAGATATGAAATAAATAATTTGACTGACTTTGCTCTTATCTCTGGCTAATCTCTAGAATATTCAGAACCTTCATCTTATGAAGAGTCCATGAATAGTTATGAATTTGAGAGATGGAAATATGCTATGAAGGAGGAAATGGAATCACTTGAAAATAAAACATGAAAACTTGTAAAGAAACCGAAAACTCAGAGAGTTGTTTAATGTAAATGGATTTTCAAAGTCAAGGAAGGGATTAATTCTACTGACCTTTTGAGATATAAGGCGAGACTTGTGGCCAAGATTTTTACTCAAAGGGAAGGTGTTGATTATAATGAAATCTTCTCTCTTGTAATCAAATACAAAACAATAAGATTGATTCTTGCACTAGTTATTCAATTCAATTGAGAACTTGAACAATTAGATGTCAAGACTGCTTTCCTACGCGAGGAGATAGAAGATGACATTTATATGAGTCAACCCCAAGGCTTTGAGAAAAAAGGAAAATTTGACTTTGTGTGCAAGTTGCAAAAATCTCTGTATGGACTTAAACAAAGTCCTAGACAGTGGTACATACGGTTTAACACATATGTACTGAAAATTAGTTTTAAGAGAAGTGAATATGATCATGACTTGTACTATAACAATGCTAAAGCTGGTAATGAAGTGTATCTACTTTTATATATAGATGATATGTTGCTAGCTGGGTAAATACCCTAAATAGTCACTAGACTTTACAAAAAATTTTTAGGAGGTCACTGGACTTCAAAACTTCCCTAATTAGTCACTGAACTTCGCAAAAAGTTCCTAAGAGGTCACTAAACTTCGAAACTACCCTAAATAGTCACTGAACATTTCCAAAACTACCCTAATTAGTCACTCAATTTTGCAAAAAATTCCTAGAGGGTCACTAAATCATTGATGTATGAGATCACAATTTGCAAAGTTCGGTGACCTCCTAGAAAGTTTTAGCAAAGTTCAGTGAGTATTTAGGGTAGTTTTAAAGTTCAGTGACCTCCTAGAAAATTTTTGCAAAGTTCAGTGATTAATTAGGGAAGTTTTGAAGTTCGGTGACCTCCTGGGAAATTTTGGTAAAGTTCGACGACTATTTAGGGTATTAACTCGTTGCTAGCTAGCTCTAGCAAAGCTGAGATATTAAGGCTTAAGAATCTCCTAAAATCTAAATTTGATATGAAAGACTTAGAGAATGTTAAGAAAATTTTGGGGATGGTTATTAACAGAAACATGAAAGAAAATATATTGGCTATATTTCAATAAACACACTTAAATAAAGTTATAACCAAATTTGCCATGAAAGAAGCTAAGTCGGTTAGTGTTCCTCTTGCTGCCCACATGAACCTTTCTTCAGCCCAATGTCCTGAAACTGAATCTGAAATTAAAGATATGAAGAACATTCCATATGCTAATGCGATAGGGTCTGTCTTGTTTTCTATGGTTACAATAAAACCTGATTTGGCATATTCTATCAGTTTTCTAAGTAAGTTTATGGCTAATTCNAAAGACCAAAGAAAGTCTACTACTGCATATTTCTTTGATGATAATTGTATCACTTGGAAGTCACAACTTCAACATATTGTCACATTATCCAGTACAGAGGTTGAATATGTGGCAATAGCTGAATCTAAAAAAGAATGTATATGGTTAAAGGGAATTTTAGGAGAATTGAATTTTTTACATGAGACACCTACAATTTTCACTGATAGTCAAAGTGCTTTACTTTTATGCAAAAATCATGTTTATCATGAAAGATCCAAGCATATCGAGGTGAAGTACCATTTTATACGTGGGAAAATTGCATGTGGTGAGATTATACTTGAAAAAATTCATACTGATGTGAATTCATTTTATATGGGAACCAAAATTCTATCTTTGAATAAGTTTAGAACTTGTTTATCTTTACTGTATATTGATACTGGTTAGTCTTTTGCAGGTACCTGGGCGATGATATAGGGTAAAATACCGTCCTATGCATTGTAGCAACTAGAGAGAGTAAGAGGTTTCGAAACCAAGGTGAATATCGTGAGTTGTGGTTCTTAAACCCATTTTTTGGAAGTGAAAACGCGTTTTAGTTGGCATGTCCACTTGGCGTGATTTTATTGGCTCATTTAACACCACCCGGATCTGTTTTAGTTTGGAACTTACTTGGACCGTTGGATTAGATCTAAGGCTGAGGTTTAATGTATATATTTCTCCTAAGGCTACTGTACCGTTACTTGGTTCATATCTCTAATTCTTTCATACGGTCTTCAATCTCTGTTTTCTCTGTGAGGTGATTCTGAGGATTTTTTTCAAGGGTTTCCATTCGAATCTTGAGTTGTATTAATATACTAGTTTTATATTTTTGAATCACGATTGAGCCTTGGTTATTGAGTGTATTTAGTGATTGTGTACAGTGTTTTAGGTTACATCAAATGTAACCTGTAAATCTGCACTTGTGTTAGGCTGTGAGGTTTCTGATTTTGCATAGTTTAGGCAGTAATGGGAGATCCGGTTGTTGATTGATGACCGTTTATGGTGTCATATTCTGAGTCTTGGTTTTGTACTGATTATTCCACTCTCTTGAAGGTTCTTGCATAGTGACGGACTAGGTTTACCTCTTAGCCCCCCAGATTAGGCTTTGCTGAATTGGGTGAACAATCTGTTGTTATTTTCTTTTACTGCAGTGTGTGTTCTGAGGTGTTATTTTCTTGTTTGTGCAATATTTGGGTGAAATAAACCCAACATATCCAATATATTAAAGTATCAAATTAGCTTCGATATCTGCTATTTAAAGATTGCGCGCGACTGTCTAAATTAGTTTTGACACCTCCTAAAAGATAGTGGGAGACGAGCAGAAGATTTTTCCCATTCAAAATCATGTCAAATAAATTGAAGTAGAGCATACAAAAGTTTCTACACACGAAATGCACTAATAACCTGTCCCATACTAAGACAAACCCAGCCTGCAACAGAAAAAAAAACCCCAATCGACCAAGGAGATGGCTCAATTCACACATTTTAAAGCATGTTTGGCAGATCAAGACTCAGAAAAAAGTATTTGTACAGTTTGAACAAACGCAACACAAATTTTTTCTGTAATATTTTCTTTTTCTTTGTCCTGTTCAATGCCTCTGTTAAGGACCAAACATATCATTAAACATTTCTTCTCCCCTCATCAGACTGGGAAAACCTAAAGATTAAATGGAAAATAATTATTAATATTAATATCTCCTTCTGCACAATACATCTAATTTTACGAACAAAGCCACTAGCTAATTGAAGAACCATAATAATTAATAATTATGAAATACTCTTCACAATATTCAGATAAATAAAGTACATAATTTCAACAACTTCATCTGCTTCCTCTCTCTTCCTCAGGTAGCCATCGGTTTCTATACACAGTAGACTTTCAAATTGTCATAATATTTTCTGCCCCAAAAATCAGAGATTCAACTACACTCTTCACCCCAACATCATATTCTCTATTCAATTTCTGCAAATCCCTTCTAGATTGCTCAAATTTATATACAAAACTTTCAAATTTTCCCACCAAAAATTAACCTTCATAATTAGGATAAAATCATCATAAATAAATTTTACCAGTGAAGACTGGACAATTGATCTGGGAATGGAAATTTTCTATTTTACCAGCTCCGAGATCCAATCCACATCCGGGTTTGGGGCATCAGACCCATTAGGATTCGGGTTCTGAACATCTCGGTCCAGAGGATTCTCCTTGCTCAATTTCTCGAACATCTTCGCCCTCAAGTCCCTCCCCGATTCGACTCTCTCCATTATTGGTTCTTCAGACTCCTCGTTCTCATTCCAGGCATCGAAATACCCGATCCCTGGTCGAGAAACGGCTTGAGTCGGAGTCGTGGGCAGGCTAAAGTGCCCGGGTCGACTCATTGGGAAAGAGAGTGAACCTAGTCCTGAAGAACCACCCACTTGCCGATTCCAAGGAGATGGCATGGACTTCACTTGATTCAACTGCAGCTTGCGTAGAGAAGCCACCATGTCATTGATGGATCCAGAACCCAGAGACCGACTTAGCTTGTTTGCCGAGTTAGCCATCGGAGACATCGGCGGCGACTCGGTCGTCGGGGACCCAGAATCCGAAGACGACATAAAAGCTAATCTGTGTGGGGACCCGCCGTCGTACGACTCGGCCTGAGGGCTCAGAACTCGTAACTGGTCAGATGAGTGGGCAAAGAAACAAACTCTTCTCTTACAGTTCATCCCATCTTTGCATGGCTGCGTACGATAGCGCGCCGGGTGAAGCCAGCACTCGAATACGCCATGTGCGAACTCACATCCGTCACCCTTTCTACAGCTCCCTTTACGAAACTCCGGACAAGCCGTGCCAGAATAGTGAAACTTCCTCGGGTCACGGCGTCGAGCTTTCTCACCAGGATGTGCATACGGACACTCCGTCCAGTCATGCGACCGGCCACGCGCGCACTTCCTCACCTTGAACTCGAACATTCTGAAATTATCGCATGAGTGAGCGTCCACCGGAAAATCCCCGTTCCAGTTCTCCATCTCCAGAAAATCAGCCGTGAAATCGGTTGTGCAGCACTGTAAATAAGGCTTCAACGCCGATAAAGAGTCGTTCTGGAAGAAAACGGAGTAATCATCGATTCCGCCATTAGCATTTGCCTTAGGGCTCAAAGGGAAGGTGGGATTCTCTGATGTTAAGGACCATGGAGGAACATTGACGGTCTGAGTTAGACGGTTCATTTCTCCGATCATCATTTTTTCAGTTACGGAGTTTTTGTGGAGTATATCACAGAGGAGGTTCAGTTTGTATATAAACTACCAAGGAATTGGATATAACCATGGTTAGAGTTCATTTAACCATGGTTAGGTGAAAATACAAGGTTAGAATATTGAGGAATGAGAAGGTGGAATCATATGATGACACGTGTAAATGTAATAATTGAGTAGTTGTTTTAATAGGGCTGTGAAGGAGTTTATATGACGGGGATGTGAGTGGAGATTAATGGGGGATTTAGGCGGTGGAGGTTGAGTGATATAGGAAAGTATAAAAGAAGGCTTAGGGGAGGGTTAAAGGTAGGTAATAATTAAAGAGATAGATAAATGGGACGGGAATTATGTGATTGGATTTGACATTTCAATTGATGTCACCATCCCCCAAGGCCATGGAAAAATAAAGTTTAAAAATGCACTTATTAAAGTGAATAATTGATAATTTGATTCTTCTACAAATTAATGTTGAATAGTATTTTAGGTGGGATTTGAACCATGGTGCATGCATGACATGGGAAGATTGCCTAATATGAAGGTAATTTGAGTAAGAAGCATCTAACATTGTGGTACAAGATATCTCGGAAAGATTCGATGTTGATTGAGATAAAGGTTGAACCCCAACCTTGAGGGCCCCTCACCGCCCCACCCCCTAAAGTATTATGGAGGATGTAAATTGCAAGATGTATCTTAATAGGTCAGAGTGCAAGAGTTGTCATACTGGTTTCCACGAAGAGTCAAATTTCATATCTTGTAAGAGGTAGAAATCGAACTCTCACACTGCGGCTGCCAGATCAGTTGAGATTACCTCACTTTTGTCCTTTGCACCACTGAATTATGCTCTGAGGGCGATATTGATTGAGATAAGTTGTTGGCAATATGGTATGAGAGCGGATTTCGATGGGATCAAGGCATAGACTTGACAAATTCTCCCCACTTAAATGGTTCGACAAATTAGTCATAACCTTTACGTTCATACTTCTGAACGTATAACAATGATGCAATCATGAGCATGTATTATCTCAGTATCATGTCCAAAGTTTTTATGCGTGCACTTATGTTGAGCTTACTGGCCATATGATGGAAAGTGCCTTCAAGACAGATTTGGATAGGAATAAGGTATGTACTTTGCAAATTCTCCCTACTCAAATTGTCTGGCAAGTTAGCTATAACTTCTATGTCATCCAAACTATCGAAAATGCACGAATGATGTAATAATATGAATATGTTACCATAGTATCCTATCCAAAGTTTTATGTGTATGCTTATTTCGAGCTTTCTAGCCATATGGATGGAAGGCTAGTTTGGTGGCACTTGAACTTGGTTGGGATTACCCAAGTGTCGCACTAGGGGTCAATATCAAGTGGTGTTAGAACATGACTTGTATTGATGGATTTCAACCCTTTTGAAATGGATCATATTGATGTTAAGGTACAAAATTGACTCGTGCTGAAGGCCACTATAATGGAGGTGGTTGGTAATTGACATGGACTCGAAATAATGTTCGACAAAGAGACTTGTGCACTCTAAAGTGACAACGTTGATTAAATGAAATCTTCTCTTCTCTTCAAATAATAGGATATGTAACGTTTAGTTGTCATGATGCATGATATGGGAAAGCTGCCCAATATGCAGGTAATGAGTTGCAAGCTTGGCACGTAGGACATTACAATATAAGATATCAATGGAAGATTCAATGTAGATTGAAATAAGTTGTGGGCGACATAGTATGATAGAAGGCTTGACGTGAGTCGATTGATGAAGGCAGATGGTAAATCAAGGGCCAACTCTCAATTAATGTTCGAGAAAGACTAGTGCAGTTGATGATCCTAAATTAACTACGTTGGAGCAAAAATTTTAACTAATGGACCTAATTTGTCAAAACAATCCCTTTTTAACAATAAATTCGGTTGAAACTAAATTGTGTTTACCCAAGTTATTCCCTCTTTTTTTCAAAAATGGTTAAATTAAATCTTGACTTCGAAAGACGGTATGAAATGGTTAGTTATCGTGATAACAAGATATGTGTACACGAAGAAGAGGGTAAAAGTACTTTACGCTGATCGAGTTTTAAGTATTTTATTGATTTGAGAAGATAATTTAATTACAAAGTTCAACAAATAAAAAAATAAACTCTATTTTTAGTGAGTTCTTGGTCTCCATGCTTCTATTTTGTTGTCAATATAAGATCTTTAGATGTACTCTAATTAATTTCTGTTTGGAACCACCTTAATTTGCTGCATTTCTAATTTATTATCTTATTTAACTGATGTAACAATAAACCCATTTTAATATTTTCATTTACTACAATAAAATTCCAAACCTAAAAAAAATTCATTCACATTTGAACTAATTCTATCTAC